CAGGCAGGAACATTCCAGCTGTATTGCAAATTAAAAAAATCTTCAAATGACTATTTAAATACAAGCAAGAGTGGGTCACTGACCCTGCTGTCTGAAAAGGCTATAACACAGATTCCTATATAGTGTGGGAAGGGGGTCATCTACCTCAGAAAAAAAAAACAGAATTGTAAGAATGAATTTCATGAAAGGTCAACCCACAGATGTTTTCCTGTTTCACTCACTGCAGTGCCCTACGGATGACATTACGGCCTTGTGACTTCGCTGTAGGAATTCTCAGGATGTCACTGTGTTGTCTTCTTAAACATCAATATGTTGTCCTAAGGATATAAATCTTGTATCCCAGAGGCTTCACTCTCAGAGCTTATGTTCAAGGGAGACACCCAGGGCTGCCAACCTTAGTGCTCAGGAACATCTTCCTTTGAGAATCTGGGGGTGTTCTGACACAATTTGAATTTGGAGTGCATAAAGTTTCATTTGATAAAACCACTAAGAAAATGATGATTTACTGAGGATATAGTTTTACTAAAAATTATCCTCTTTTTCACATTTCATTTTGGCATGAACTTATTTAATGTTGTGCACTCTGACCCTTTGTGTGGGTTCCAGACAGCTATACAAGTTCTTAGGACTGCAGCACAAAGAAGTCAATTGGTTCTGCAAGACTTTAAGCACCTTTTTAAAATGCCTTCATTGCTGCTAAAGTCAAACCATGAAACTTATCCAAACCAACACCAAATAATGTGTCCGGAGGAGGTCAGGGCAGCTCTTATCTTGAAATAAAGTACTCCTTATACTGTGAGTATAGCCTCATGTCAGGGAAATGTTTTGTTGCAAGCAAATGTTCAGATTTATTTATCTTATTAATTTAAACTTGGCTTTCACCAGCACACTCATTACCAGAAGCATACACATAAGTACATACAGTATATATGCATACAAAAATACACATACATAAATATGTAAAATATGTACGTGTGTATTTTCTCATGTAAATTACCTAGAATTTACCTAGATTTGCCAAACTTTCTACACATCACTTATCCTGACATGTATATTGTTTAAAAGTAAAATAACTTCCTCTGGAAGCTTCACAATTGAGATCATTTATTATATTCTAAGACATCTATATACAACAGATAATAAAATTGTTCATGAAATGTCAGCTTTGTATTCTCTAAATGTTCTATAAGGCAAAACAAGAAGGCAGTAATTTACCTCGTAAAGTTCGTAGTTCTTTACTGGAAACGGGTATAGGATGGTAAATGTTATATCTATCCAACCATCAAATCCGCATGACTTAGAGTATTAAGAGTGAAAGGGAATAACTTAAGCATTTTGGGAATTATTATAATATTTTTGGTATATGTTCTTTAGCAATTGGGGAAAACAACGTTTTAAGGTGATCTCTGCACTTTAAATCTACCATCTGGTTGAGCACAAATATGACTTTTATGTAGCTCTTTTTAGATAGTTATCCACCTTTCACAGCCCACCCTTGCCCTTTATGAAGAGATGAACCAATACGATAAACTCTCCTTCACATCTGAGAGGCTGGTTTCTGGGACGACATCACCTTAGCTGAGTGATAAATATGCCTTCCGAGAATGTGCGAGACCTTCACAGAACACGTTTTTGCACACCAGTATATACTGTAAGACTCAGGTTTAAGTGATCATAATAAATGGTTTAAACATAACGATTAAACCAAATCAGAGCAAATGTGAACCTTAGTAACAACCAAAGTAAGTTTGCAATGAAACGTGACATACTGTGACAGTGACAACATTAGAACATAAGCCTTAGCTATAAACTCCACTGGCATAAACAGATCTGGCAGTGATGATGTGCGGCTTGAACAGCCTCTGAGCAGACTGCTGTGGAGTGTCCTACTACTTTTCTTGCTACAGCCAAGGGGTGAAGGCTGGGTCCTGCTGATAGCATTGCAAATCTGGTTCCACATATGCTGTATTGAATTTAGGTTGGGGAAAAAACCTTAGCAAGACCATCATCACCCTACTTTCCTACACCCAACTCGCTGACTCAGCATTGTCCGTGAACATAACAATTAAACCAAATCAGAGCAAATGTGAACCTTAATAACAACCAAAGAGCCAAAGTAAGTTTGCAATGAAACATGACATACTGTGACAGTGACAACATTTTTTACCACTCTAATCTCTCCGCCTGTGTTCTCAAAGACGGTTTTCCGAACTCATACATAAGAAAGACTACAGAAACCAAAATTATCCTGCAGCTAGGATCACACCTTCCCCCTTCTCTTAGCGACAGACTACTTTTCTTCTAAATTTTCATTGGTGGTTTCATTTCACCTCTCTACACCTATTCTAACTTCACACCTCTTGATTGGCCTCTCTTTCTGTCCCCTGCTCCCGCCTCTCGCTCCTCCTCTCTCCCAGCCTTTGTTCTCCCGCTACATTACCTTTGCTAACTGCCTTGTCTTTCTCACACCTGAAGAAAACTCCACGGCCAAAACGTGTTTTCTTTCTTCTTTTTTTCAGCATGAAATAAAACTATTACTTGTTCCATTGTCCGTGAAGTACCTTCAGAGCATGCAGATTCTTTTCTTGCGGACGGCAAACTACAGCCATCGTGCTGATGCACAGGTTATTTATTTCCTTTTGGTGTTTCTAATACCGTAGCCACAGCAGTCTGAAAGAATAACATGACTCAGTAAACCTATCTGCTGAGTATTTAAAATTTAAAATAACGTACATGCCTCTTAAACTTTGAATGTTGAGTTTTTATTGTGATTCTGTATAGAATGCCTTACTGGGAAGAAAAAGTGGTGCAATTTGTGCATGTGCATAAACATAACTTGTGTAAATCCAAGAGAAATATTCATGTGACTTTTTAGGATTATTTATATATTCACATACAGATAATAAAGGCAACATGTGGTTCAGAGTTGTTTTTAAAAAAGGATTTCAAAGATAAAAATTACGAAAATATGTTGACAAAAACAATAGAAAACATAACAAAGAAGCTAAAGCGGGTCAGAGTTGTTGCTGCTTTGCTGCTTTTTGGTGGATATCCCTTAAAGAGATTACATCTGCTATTAAACAGGTGGAAGCACTTAACGGAAAAGTGAGTTAGAGCCAAAATTATTGAAGCTTTATTGACTGTCCAAAAATCCAATAGTGTAACCTTTAATGAGAATTTTTAACTATACCTCTGGAGTCCTTCTTCAACGGGGTGAATACATACATCACATGGCAGAATGACTTTTTGGGATGAGAGGCTTTGATGATCAAAGTTGTCATTTTCTAGTAAAGATGTTTAAGTGATAACTAGGGGTTGCACTGAGTGTACACAAAACATGATGCATTTCTAGGATACTGTATACATAAAAAAATCAATTATTTCACCTATAACTCTTTAAAGCACTAAAATATTAACATTCAAAAAGAAATTCTAGGTTTAATTAACATTATTCAATATATCTCACTTTTCCAAGAGAATGTTCAATTTATTTGCTTGCTAAAATCAGTGTGTTGGACATTTTTCTTTTGGGAAATGTATAATAAACCATAAATTATTAAAATAAGCTAGGTTAATGGATATGGATGCTATTCATGATAAATCAATTTATCCTAAAGTTATTGAAGTGGTAAGCGAAGTAAAAAGCTTTAAACTTTTTTCACTAAAATGACACATTTTGTAATGTAGATGTCACACAAATTAAAAACATAACATACTAGGCAACAAAAGTTACAAAGACACTTAATTTCAGGATGCATTTTTTAGTCTAGTTTGGAAGCTCTGTGGGGCAATAATACTGGAAAAGGCAACACAGATTGCCAATTGTTCCTAAGAGCCTTATAAGGTAGATAAACATTGTGGAGTGTTACCCAAAATTCATGTTGTCTTATATTTGTGTCAAAGTTAAAACATGGTGAGATGTTTGTTTTGTTCTGAAATCATGGTAGTAAACATACTATACAGGTACTTTCCAAAGCTATCAACATTGTGTGAAACACAGCAATATGCTCCTGTAGTCCAAAGTCAACAACGACTATACAGAAGTCTAGCTTTTTTTACAAAGAAATCACTTCTCATTAACAGATTCTGAACTGCTTTGCATTCTGTGCACAGGGCTGTATATCTCAAAATTTATTCAGAGTCATCAGTCAAGATTTTAATTAACATGTACTGCCATCATCCCAAGGAAAAGCGTGATGATTGTTTGATTGCAAATAAAGCATAAATACACATCCACTCGAACCACTTAATTATAATTACGCAGTGCCTATCTATGCTGAAAACTATAGTCAACCAGTCTTCTGCTGTTTTCCCATATTTTTCCTTTTTTGTTTTAAGTTTTATTATTTTTGGAATCTTTTATCCCATTTTTGTTGTCTTTGTTTAAAGTTATCTGCCTTTTCTTATTTTTACCTTTTTCCCTACACAGCGGTAGGTATGAGAACTGTTATCCGACATTGTGTTATTTGCCACAATTTTTCTTTTTCAATGTTTTACAATTTTTGTTTCAGGGTGTGAATTGCTCTGGAGAACAACCAGGTGGTGTATTTTACTATTGTTCTTCACATGCTTCTGTTCGTCTAACAGTCCTTGACAAGGCTGTCAAGAAACTGTTCAAAGCAAATCAAAGAAAACTGGATGCAGGGCTTGTTTTTGATTACACATCCTATACAATATTTAGGTATACATAGTGAGACCTACCAAAGTATTCCAAAGGAATAACAGAGCTGATTTTGGTTTCAGAGGTTATGATGTTTGAAGCTTAGCCAATATTGACTCAACTCAAAGTCATTTTTTAAATGAGCACCCTGGGAGAGATTCAGACTGCTTGCTTTTCTACTGGGGGTGTAATTCCTTCCTGATTTGGAAAAGTGCCAAGGGAACCGTTGTCCAGTTTGGCTGAAGGGGGAAAGAAAAAAAAAGGCAGAAAGCAGTCCACATACTCAACAGTTATCAAAATGGAATGAGACATTGCCTTCTCGCCTTTTGTTTTGCTACAGCTGGCTCTGTCTCCTTGGAAACTGACCATCTCTTTTGATGTGTGACTCCTGGGAGTCCAATGAACACACTATACAAGGGGTAGCATTTCCCCACAGGCTTCCTGAAGTGGGCAAATTAAAGAAAACTGAAACAACAGGTATGTTCTGGGTATTGTAACGAAGGAATTTGGCTTGATGGTTGTTTTTGAAAATAAAAGAAAGCCTTGGGCTTAAGCCTAGGAAAAAAATGCCACTTAGGCCAGATAAAACAATTCCAAACTGGCTTAAGGGAAAAGCGGAGCAAAAACAATTGAGTGGGACGTGGGTATTTTGTTTTGATTCTAAATCCATAGGGAAGCAGAGGTCTTGGGTCTTCCATAAAAAAGGAAAAAACAAAAGTGTGCCTCTATACAGGAGGTCTATGCAAAATATATATCACCAAGAATTTATCGCTAATATTACCACCTAAAAAGAAACTACTGATGGGTTATGTGATTGCAACACAAATTAAAATCTAAATGTGACTGACATTCTACATGACAAAAACAGATTTTAAGATAAGTCACATCGACGATTTGGTCCTTTTTAATAAGGCTACCTTGATAAGCGTGTTAACTGGGTGATGTTTTGAAGGAAGTACAACTAATTGGATGATGCATTTATTGAGGTTGTTTCAATGTGAAGTAAAAAAAAATATGGGCCTTAGTGTATTGAAAGCTTCTGTTAAAAGATACATTTACCCGGCAGTCTTGTAAAGTGGTTTCCACTATGCACCCTTTTGTGTCCTTCACAAGCTGCACTTAAGCCCCAGCTCTTTAATGGTTTTAATAATCAGATGTCCTTCACTGCTGCACAGGCAGTGCAACTGAGGGATGATTGAGTTACCAGCATCCAAATAACTTTGTGTCATTCACTCCCAATGCTGCTGCACTGCCTTCCTTTCCTCAACCCTTGCTCTGTGTTTGCCATGAAAGTGGTTTCTAATTGCATGAAAAAAACTATTGCTAAAAATAATGGATCTTCTTGACATATTTCATCTCATTCCCCGACATCTTTATGAGAGCTAGGAAGTGCACACATTATTTTACATATAAAGGCACCATACCATGCTCACCATTGCTAAAAAAACCCCGCAACAAATAACCTTTGAGACACAAAGGAAGGAGAAAAAAGCACTACCTAAACTAACTAAAATTGATGAAGTTAAGCATATTTTCTTTGGAGACCAGTTTTGAATCAGATGGACATGGATACAATGCCAGCAGTATTTTAAAAGTTCTGCCTCACGCCTTCCGGCACTTCTGCACTTCCCAGCCAAAAGACTTTCCTAAGAAGTTCCGTCTAATAAAGGTGCCTGCTGGGACAGACAAGGCAAGAGCAGCTGCACATTCGCCCACAGCCTGGCTCGTCAAGGCCTGGCCCTGGCTCAGCAGGGTGCAGTGGCTTAACCAGGCAGGGGCAAATTCTAGCTTTTGTTTATTTCCCTACAGGAAACGACCAGCCTCCCCATTATCCAGAAAAATGACCCCAAAGGCAGAGTCGGAGACCCTGTCATTTTAATCCTTGATTTTTATTTTATTAGTCTACACCTTTTTATTCTTCCCTTTCTATCAAAACCTGTTTAGAGAATCATTTTGTTCCTCTGCATTTACTGTTGCAATGCATTCATCAGTATTGTTTTCATGTATTTGAAGTTAAAAAAAAAGATTTAACAAAACAAAAGCCATCAATAGATATTTTCTACGCAGACTTTTTCGGTCAGCTGTGGGTAAATGTTCAGGGGTCATGTTAACTTTGCATAATGTACTCCTGCTGTTCATCTGAACAAAGCAATCGGCATCCAGTCCTACACATCCTTGCAGTGGACTTAAATTTCACCTTCAAAATTACCTTTCAGTAAATTGGCAAACAACCTAAAACCAAAGATATGAAAGAGGAAGACATTCTGCCAATCTGACTCAACTAGTTGTTAACGATCCAATAATCAATAAGTTGGATTGCCTATTCCATACTCCCACAACCCTCTGGGTAAAGAAGTGCCTCCTGCCCTCAGTAATTTCCACTTATGTCCTCTGGTTCATGTCTCCTTGCTCACATTGGAGACGTCAACTGTGTTGGCTCAGTAAATCCTTTTGAAGATTTTGAATACTTGTATCAGGTCTCCTGTTGTTCTTTAAGACCAAATCAATTCACTTCTTGCAGTCTTTCGGTACGTGTTGCACATTCCCTTAATCTGTGGAATGCATCTGGACGGTCTTCTTTTGAAAGATTCCAGCTCTATCTTTTTTACCACACGGTGACCAAAACCGTATCAATATTTTACATTTGTTGGATGTGTAGATCATCTGGGGTGTGTGCAGAACACCAGCTCCTGCTCACCCAGGCATGACAGGGTCCACTTAAACATCCGAGTCCTTGTCACGAGGAGGCTCTTTTAGCTCATTGCTTCCCATTTTGTTTTTCTGCAGAAAATAAAGGCACTCAAGAACACACGGGATACTGCACAGCCTGGTTCACATCAACCGAACTCTCCACAGATTTTATGTGGATGTTTGATCTCAGTGAGCTGTTGAATTGTCTGATAATTGACGGTTTTTAAATTAATATGCCATTGTTATGAAGACCATGGTCTTGGGCTCATCAGCTGTAGACACATGATTACAAAAACCTTCTGCAAATGCCATTTGCCTAGCAGCTTCCATCTAGGTTGGAGAAGCTGGAACAGACTCCTGGCTTTAGTGAGACTCAATGTTCTGATTAAATGCTAGAGGTTTGAGGTTTTGATGCTGAGCCCCTCGGTGTATTGTCTAGAGCTTCCAAAGCAAGCCTGAAATATTTCAATCATCCCAGACCAGGCAAAAACATTGCTGCAGCACCTCGCCTTGTATCATTCCTTTGCTGATGTTGCACAGTGGTGTGTGAGTATGAGCAATATTTAGAGAGAATCAGAGGGCAGAATGAGCTCTGTGACCACCTTCTATCAATGCTGAAGCAATACCAGAAGATGCAACTGCAACAGCAATTATTTTCTGCTGTCTGGTCTTGGAGTGAACTAGATTAATCAAGACTGTCTTCCCAAACCATCCCAAACCAAAAAGGCTCCAGTACTGCGTCCAGGCACTGTCTCATAGACAGCTGAGTGCTCTAGGATGCAGAGCCTCTCTTTCTCTCCTGAAGACATTCATATTTTCCACATTAGTTTGTCTCGCTAAGCATTTCTGGTGATTGCATGCCACCTTGGTCCCTCACACCTGATTATAGGCCAAGCTTCTGTAGATGTTTGCAGAGTATAGACAGTATTTGGCCTTATGTTGAAAACGATTACTATGTTAAAAATGCTCTTGTGGAAGGCAAGGCCCATGCTAGAATTTTGCTTTTTAAGCAGCAATAAGCAGACCTTTAGATAATGCCAGTTTTGATTGGCGATCTCCAAGTGTTGCCTTTGGGATTTATCTCCTGAACAACTTGTCTTGCAGCCTAATTTCAATTTAATTCAAGCTTTATTATCCTCTGGGGCAAATTCATTTTATTGCACAGTCCAATACAAGGAAGATAGACATTATCAACACAGAAGACGGTACAACAGTGATACAGAAGATTGATATAGTGATACAGAAGAAAGATACTTTACATACTCTTCTGGGTTCTCGCAGAATACTCTTCTCGACATGTACTGCAGCCTTATATTTCTGAGTAATGAACAGTACAGTGAAAAGTGGCAGATTCAGCTTTATAGTCATCTTCTAACTTGTGGAGGCCAAGGACCAATTTGTTGAGAGCTCTCTGACCTTAACCAGGTTGATACTTACTGTAGCTATAACTGAATATTGTCTTCATTGACACTCACAGGACACATGAACCTCCAGGGCCTCTTTAAAAGCCCCAGAGGCTCTCAGTGCACCTCCAAAGAGCCGGAAGCTATTGCAAATGTGTTTTTCTTATTTAATTTGAAAATATTTAGAGGAAGGTACTTATTTACAGTATGAGGCGGAGTTCACCGTGCTTCTGAAAGCAGTGCCGTCAGGACTGGATCAGGTAAACTCTGGGGCACCTCTGGCTTCAGAGCTATGCAATGCCACACCCAGACAGCTGTCCATTCCACCTATTTCAACAGATAGACCACCCACCACAGGACAAGACCTGATGTCTGGATAAAGCCCAAAACCTTGGACATGCAAGGATCTCAGACCGAGATCACATCACAAATACCTGACACTGATAAGTGTCACAATGAAATACAAGCCCCATCATGTGGAAAACAATAACAACAAGTCAGACTTTCGTGAAGATATTAATGTATTAAATATAAAATAACACTTACAGATGTCTTAACCTCTACAGACAGATAGATGTTATTTTTAAATATTTTAAACTGTAGGACTTCAGTGCCAGATATATGAATAATGAAGACCCAAAGGCACTCACTTGTCCAAAGTATTACAAATGACAAAATGGCAGCCTCAGCCACTTATACGTTGCTCATTGTTAATATTCTATTACATGAAACTAAATCCCAAACCAGTGTGGATTTTTAGTATAAACCACTTCTTATATCTTTGACTCAAAGCTACTCTTATTTCTTTTGTGTTTTAAATAATTTGCTTGTTACTGTTGGGGGAATAATTCGTCCAGAGGACAACAAACAGATTCGAGATACAGGAATCACCTTTTCCACAATGACCTTCACCATTTCAACAGCGTATCACTGTTGAAAATGAGCTTATGATTTCACCCTCAACTGCAACTTCCATGTACGCTGTACAAAAATCCAAGTGAACTGAATATTTTGCTAAACATTCTTTCAAAACAAATTACATGATTAATTCCTAAGGGAAGTTGGCAATAACTGATATAATAACAGCACAGATTCACCTGTGGACTTTGGAGAGAAAGTGAAAGTGCTTGTATTTCATAAGAAAGTGGAAAAGCTCTGAAAAGCACAACTTAGAAACAAGTACAATGTATTGTTTAGACAGTCCAAACTTTACTTGTTATAATTATGTATTCAATGTAATCGATATTTACCAGCATGGCATCTTTTATAAATTTTTCAAGAGCTCAGTAGAAAATATAATGCATAACTGTAGACTTAAATGTTTGTGTACAAATATTGAACCAAGCTAAATTTGACAATGTATCTTATATTCATTTCCATGTG